GGAGCCTGGCAGTGCCAAGGGGCACCGAGCCCCTCAGAGCTCTGAGCCAGCCTCTGCAGTGATTTGGGGAGGAGGAGAGGCAAAGGCTTGCGAAATCCCAGCTCCTGGCTGTGTCCCTGTGTGGGAAATGAATTTGTAGAGCTTTAAGGCATTTACAGCATGGTGTGGCTAAAGGTGATAGGCCAAGAAACACTTTTAATGTATTGTAATTAAGAAATAGTTGGCTTCTGATTGTTATAGCATGAATTATAACATCTGTATTGTGTCACCCTTCACATGAGACTGAAAACTGAATAAAGGCTTTTAAAACGCCTCTCGGTTGCCCCATCTCTGAGTCAGAAAAGGGCTTCATCCAACATCCATGGGTTTCGGGGTGTCTGTATGCTGCGGAGGTGTCCTGGTCTGGGGGTGCTTTTCTCTCCCTGGGCTGGCTCTGAGCTGCCAGCCTGGCTCTGTTCCTGCTGTGCCAGCCCTGCTGCTCCCAGGCAGAGCAGGGATGCCCTCCCTGCGTGCCGCAGCTCGCTCCAGCCGAGCCTCTGGCTACAGCCCCGGCCGGGGGAGGCAGGGAAAGCCCTCCCCGAGGGCAGGCGGGCTGTGCCCGGGGCTGAGCACGGCCGGGAGGGCTCCGAGCCGTGTCCCCTGCCCCGACACGCTGGCTCGGAGCGAGCCCCGTGCCCCGACACGACGGCTGCAGGTAAAGCCCCGGCTTGCCAGAACCAGCCCTCGCCGCTGGCAGCCAGCCCCGACGTGCCAGGGGAGTTATTTATTTGGCGATGAAAGACACGCGTTTCGTTGGGAGAAACCACTCCGCGGCCTCGGAGCCTCCCTGCACGGCTCCCCCGGGGCAGGGTGAGGGCTGCAGCCTCAAGACCAACCCCAGAGCCCGGCAGCCTCCACCTCCCACGCCGGCTGGGGCTGAGCTGCGGCAAAGGCTGGGAAATGAGTGTCACGCTTAGGGAAGCCACAGCGAACCTCCTCCTGCTGCCAGCAGCCTCCATCCCCGGGGCATGCCACAGCCGGGTGCCTTCTGGCGTTTCCAGGCACCTCTGGAGCCGAGCCCTGCCATGCCATGCCATGCCATGCCATGCCATCCCCCTGCTGGGATCGGGGATATGCACACACCGATGCCCGACAAGGGAGCCTGCAGGTCCCGCCCCAGGGATGAGGCTCGGTGTCACCTCTGCCACCTCCGCGTGGGCTGCTGCTGCCTGTGGAAGTCCTACCCCGAAATTAGCAGCTGCTTCACTCTGTAATTAACGGGCTGGCGACTCCCCGGAGATGCCAGAGCAAGGTGGGAGCTCCCAGGGACCCTCCCTGTGCTGCCACACACCCCCACATCCCTCTGGCTGTGGAGACATCCAGCGGCTCCCGCTGAACCCTGGCCTCTGCCACTCACCCAGGAGCTCCTGCTGCATCCCTGGGTGCTGGCACCCCTGGGCTCAGGACCAGCAGCTTCACCCAGAGCTCCTGCCAGGCACGTTTCAGCTCAGCCCCCAGGAGAAGGGGTCCATGGGATGCTCCAGGGAAGCATCATGACCCCAGCACGAGGGAAGAGCTTCATTCAGTCCCATGCTGAGAGCACCCCCTGCGCTGGGCACGAGAGGACATCGTGCAAAACTCCACCCAGTGACATCCTGGTTTCCCAGGACACCCCATCCCTGCCCCCCTGGTGTGCCCAGGTGATGGTGCCCATGCTGGGTATCCTTGCACAAGGAGGATGAGCCAGTCCCTCCTCCAGCCCACAGAGCAGCTTGGAAACAACTCCCAGCCCACATCTGGGAGGAAGAGGAGGAGGAGGAGGAGGAGAGCAGCCAAAGGGTGTTGACAAACAAACTGGATGAGTCAGGCAGGAAGATGCCCAAAGCAGGGTGGCAGGAGGAGGCACCGGTCAGAGAGACCCTGCAGAACGGAATGCAGGATCACACCTGTGGATCACACCTGGCTGCCCTGACAGCCCCAAAGCTGGCAGGGAGCTGCCTCTGTGACTGCCTGGGGTCCTCCAGCCCCAGCTGGGAGGAAAGACCCTGCTCCTGAGCCACCCATGTCACACATGTCTGGCAGACATTGGCACGAGCCTCACACAGCCACCATCAAATGGGCTGGGACAGGGCATGGCACCTGCACAGCCTGGGCACCGTGGGCATGGCAGGGCATCTCCCAGCTGCCTCCTGCCTTTTCCCATTCCCAGGAGGGGTCTAGGCTGGGCTCTCCTCAGCAGCTCTGCTGGTCTAAGTGGCTGCAACCTCGAGAAGCACTGCCAAGCCCAAAGAGCTCCTGTGCCTCCAGCAACCAGGGTCATCGTGGCCTGGGCAGCAAATCCAAACACCCCAAATTTGGGAGGACAACCGGGAAAAGCTGCTTGGAGAAGGGCTGGATCCTTCCTGGGACAGCAGCAGCGGAGAACAGGCCGAGCTAGGCAGGAAAACCTGGAGTTTTCCCCGCCACGTTGCTTTGCATGCCTGACAGCAAGTCGTGCCTTGCCTGTTGGGCTCCAGCCCCTCCCAGCTCCGGGGGCTCCTCAGCCAGCCAGGAGCCCTGGCAGGAGCAGAGAGGTGCTCCAGGAACCCAGTTTGCCCCAGTGTCTCCCAGGGAGGTGTCCCAGTGCAGGTGTGTGTCCCCTCTACTCACCCCAGAATAGCACGGGACGTGTCTCCAAAATCCTATTCCACAGGAATCTTTTTTTCCCTCATTAAATCATTAAATATTTTTCCCATGAAGAGCCCTCTGCAGTCCCCAAGCATGGGTTTAACCCATGCTTGGGGACTGCAGAGGGCTCTTCATGGGAACCCTGGGCTAACAGGCCTTGCAAACATCCAACCCTTGATCCAGCAGAGCCAGATTCCTGCACAGGAAACCCAGCCAGGCTTCTCCTTGTTATTCTTCAGGATTAAGATCACAGGGGCTTGCACGGGGAGCTATCTGTGCCCAGACAATCTCAGCAAGTTCCAGAGAAACTCAGGATGTGCTTTGGATCCAAACACGCCACGGGCAGCCCTGACCCGGCGCTCAGCCGGCGCTGAGCTTTAACTAATGCAAGATGAAAACCCCAGAGCGAGTTCCAAGCTCTCCTTCAAAGCTCAGAAACCTGCTGGCGTCCTGCTGAGCCGCATACCACGTAAGCATTCCTGCCAGGACGGGGCCTGGCAGGGCGGATGGGCTGCACGGCGAGACAGCCGCCCCTGTGCCAGCCCCACGGCAGCTCCGGCGCGGCTGCAGCTCTGCCCGCAGAGCCCTCCCTTGGGGACAAAAGGACTTCAGAGCCACTCCCGCGGCTTTATGGCCGCGACAGAGGAGTGATACGGCGGAGTCACCTCCAAAACACGGGCGCTCCCCAGCCCTTGAGCTGCCGGAGAGGCGCACAGGGTCCAGCACGAAGCTGTGCCACCCGCTCAGGTGTGGCCCCGCTGCTGCGGGGGTGGCTTCACCCACCGGAGACGAGGTTATGCCAGCCTGGGGAGCTGAAACCAAAGCTGGGAGACGAAAAGGCTCCGAGGTCACGTCCTGCCCGCTCACAAGCCTCGGGGAGCCGAGAGCCCGCATCACGAGTGACGCAAAGTGGCTTGGGGGAGCCAAGCACTGCCACGGGGGGGGTGACCCCACTTAGAGGGGTCAGAAGTGTCACCACAGACCCCAGTTAGCAGCGCTGAGCCCCCAGCCACGGCTTGACACGATGCGTGCCCGAGCAGAGCCGTCACTGAGCTCTGGGCAGACGCCCCGAGCCGCCCCGGGACAGCCGGGCTCTCAATGGCCACATTGTCACCCTGCCTGTCGCACCGAGCTGGCGGGGGCACCGCTGTGTCCTGCCTGGAGCCAGCCAGGGGTGCAGGCAGCCCTTCCCTCCGCCCCACAGCCTCAGGGGGGGGTTTGCTAAGGATCCCCCAGCGCTGTGAAGGGGGATGAGACTCATCTGGCAGGCAGCGCCGGCAGTGCCCGTGCTGACAGCGGTGTCCCTGAGCTTCCAGCATCCCCCTGGAGCCAGCTCCCCTCTCACCTCCCCGAATCCCGAGGGGTCCCCGAGCCCCGCTGCCAACGCAAACACCCCCGGCACAACGCAGCCTTTCATTTGGGAGGCACACGGGCACCTCGGGTACCCCCCAGATCTGTGCCGAGGCAAAACCACGGGGAAACTAAAACCTAAAAAGTTTGAAGAGCGAAAGAGAGGCGAAGGGCAGGCGTGGGGGTCCCGGGAAGACTGAGCGGGGGGGTTCCCAAAGGGATTGAAGGAGGGATGGGGAGATCCCGGGGGTGTGCCCGGGATGAGCGGAGCGGGGGGCGCGCCGGGGGCTCACCCGCGATGTGCTGGCGGCGACCCTCGTCCAGGTGCGTGGAGACCACATCGCCCATGGCGAGCGGAGCCGGGCCGGGCCGGGCGGCGGGAGGAGCGGCAGGAGGAGGGGGGAAGAGGGAGGAGGAGGAGAAGGAGGAGGAGGAGAAGGAGGAGGAAGAAGGCAGAGCTCAGGGCGGCCCGGCAGCACGGCGCCCCACGGCCCCCCCGGCCACTCCTCCCGCACCGCCCCGCGTCCCGCCCGCCGCCTCGGGGAGAGGCTGTGAGTGTCCCCCCGCTGGGTAATTAGCCGCGCTAATTGCCGCGGGGGGATGGGTAGATGGAGGAGGGGCCGTGCCCCCCAGCCGGGAGCCGGGCAGTGCTCGGTGTGTCCCGAATTCCCAGCGGGAGAAGCGGCTCCGCGCCGGCCCCGCGCTGCTCCGGCCCGGCATTGCCACACCCGGGCTCCGTCCTACCTGCGCCCACGCCCCGCAGCCGCCAGCCGTGACCTTGGTGCCAAACGGGACAGCGGGCGTGGGAGCCGGCGGGCAGCGGGCACAGCCAGGGGCCCCTCGCCCTGCCCAGCCCGGGATGGGAACGCTTGAGGTGTTTAAAACCCGCCCCAGCCACAGGTTTCGGCTGCGCCGGGACGGGGGTTGGCATCTCCTGGGTGAGGAGGGCACACTCAGAGCGGGACACTGGCACCGGGAATGTGCGAGCGTGCGAAGGCTCCTCGCACACAGCCGGGGAGGAAGCGCTGGGAAAAAGCTCCTCCTTCCTCTTCGCTGCTGCTGCCGCTCCTTTCCGAGCGCAACAGGCGGAAACAGCCCTGCAGGATGCCTGGCGCTGCCCGGGCACGATCCGCGGGGAGGAAAGGCCTCGCCGCCCTCGTTCCCAGAGCCCGGGCACCGCCAGCAGCTCGGGCTGTGACCGAGGGAGGAAGAGGAGGAGGAGGAGGAAGGAGGACGTGGTGGCGTGACCAGAAAGTTCAAGCTGTTCCCAGCTGCGGGGAGTCGCTGCCGAGGTGGATGCACGCCTTGGGATCGCTCTGGGTCCCTGGATGCTTCCAGAGCTCTGGAAGCCGGGCGAAGCTCGGCTCAGCTGCTTGGCTCGGTGTGGGGCAGCCAGCGTGGAAACGGCTCCGGGAAGGCTTTTCCTGGGCTGGCCTTGTTTACCCGGGAGCGGTGGGAGGGAGGGTTGGAAGTGGCCGGGCTGGGAGCGAGGCATCCTGTTTATCCTCCTGAAATAGCTGCCCTTGGCCGCCGGGGCTGGGCAGGGGGCGGCAGGATGCGCACAGCCCTCCCCGCCTGCTGCCACCACCCCGGGGGACGCCAGCGGGTCCTGCCCCCTCGCCGTGCCGGGGGGATGCCACCCCGGAGCCAAAAATTCTCCTTTTTGGGCAGGGATGCGTCCGTGCCACGCTCTGCCCAAGCAGATCATTCCTCACGTGGCCAAAAAACGTCAGGACATCGAGTGGCATCCAGGTGCCACCTGCGTTTGTCCCAGCACCCTCTTCCCCCAGGAATGCCCACAGTGCATCAGCATTTTCCATCCTGATACACTTCTCACCCCTCCGACTCATTCCAATGGGAAAATAATCCCAAAGCTGGAATTTCTTCCCCTGAGATGTCCCATAAGAAGGTTTACCCTTAGCACGGGGCTTGTTTGCAGCTTGTTTGCCTGGCCAGAATGCTGCTGGTATCAAGGGATTCTCGTGGGAAATTCATCTGCAGCAAAATCTCCTTTCCAGTAGAAAATCCTTCCACTGGAGGCTTTTAAATACTTTCCCCAGTGCTGATCCCCAAGAAGTCTGGCTGTGAATTAATTTGAAATTCTGTCTTAGTGTGGTGGTGGTATTTAAGAGGCGATGAAAATGCATCCAATCCCCTTCAAACTGAAAAGAAATGGGAGTATCTATCCATGTAAATAACTTCATAATTAGAAACCAAGCTTCATCCCTTCCAAAAAAGCAATGTATGGAATATGATTTAGGCAGTGCCCACAGAATCCTGCTAAATAAACCTTAATAAAAGCCTTATTTTTGAAAAATTAATCCACACAAGCACCGAAGCACTGAGTCATCCCTGACTCTTTTGCCCGCTGGTGTGTTTCTTAAGTAAAAAAAAAAAATAAAACCTGAATGAAGAGGTAAAAAATGGACAGCATTGATATTGTTGATTTGCAAACAGGAAGGGGAGGTTTGTGGCACACAGAAATAGCCTGGAGGCTGTCACACAGACACACAGGCTGCTTTTGGGGCCCCCAAAACCACCTGAGGATGGGCACGATGTCCTGGCAGCGTCAGACAGTGCCACGTGGTGACACAGCATGAGCTTTTGGCACGGGCTGGCTGGTGCCAGAGATGGGCTCAGCTGCTAAAGCGTGGCACAGGAAAGCAAAGAAGTTCTTTGAAGGCTTTTATTGTGACTGGAGACATTTGGGAGCTCAAAACTCAGCAGGTGAGCACATTTTGGTTTGTTCCTACAGGGTCATGTGCAGAGGGGATTGTCCCCAGTGTGCTCCTGCTCAGGGTTTCCTTCATCCCCACCAGCCCAGTGGGTGCCTGAGGAGGATGGGATGAGGATAGGGATGGGAATGGGAATGGGAATGATTTGTCGTTCCTCTGCAGCACATTTTGGTTTATTCCCACATGGTTACAAGCAGAGAGGATTGTCCCCAATGTGCTCCTGCTCAGGGTTTCCTTCATCCCCACCAGCCCAGTGGCTGGCCCAGGATGATGAGGATGAGGATGGGGATGGGGATGGGGATGGGGATGGGGATGGGGATGGGGATGGGGATGGGGATGGGGATGGGGATGGGGATGGTTTGTCCTTCCTCTGCAGCACATTTTGGTGCATACCCACATGGTCATGTGCAGAGGGGATTGTCTCCATGCTCCTGGTCCGGTTCCTTCATCCCTGCTACCCTGATGGGTGTCTGAGGAGGATGGGATGGGGATGGGGTTGAAATGGGGGTGGGGATGGGGATAGGAATGGTTTGTCCTTCCTCTCCAGCTGCAGTTTCTGGGAGCCCAGCCTGGCCCTGCCCAGGCATAAGCCTGTCCTGTTGAGCACCAGGGGTGTAGACACAGCCCCCCACTGCCCTCCTGCCTCCCCTCCTGGCTCCATCCATCCCAAGGATGTCTTTAAATCCATCCCAACTCCCTCCTCAGCTGAGTTGGGGCTCAGCTCCCAACTCCCTGCTCTGCTTCCCCATATCCCTCTGTAAAGGCTCCAGGTAAAGCCCCTGGGTTCAGGAAAACAAACCACCAGTTCCAGCAGCACAAGTGATGCTCAAATGGTTTTGTCACACCCTGGCCTGGGCCTGTCCCACGTGCTGGGGCTCCCAGGGACCCAGCACAGACGTCCCTCCCATCAGAGGCTGTGCAGTGTTGGAGTTGTACAGAATTGCAGCCTGATAAAGTCTAATCATGCCAGCTAATTACATCTCTCTGAAGAGATGGAAATAATGCTTATCTGCCTAAAGCTGATGAATTATCTACCCCAGCTTGGAAATGAAGGATTTCCCTGTGAATACAGCCGAGGAGAATAAACACTCTCGTGATTTCAGGCAGCTCCTGGGATGGTGGTGATGGCAGCAGCGAGGTGAGGTAGTTCCCAAATTATTAAAGCCTTCAAAGCCTTCAGTGTATTAGTCCATCATGATGAGCAAAGTGTTCCATACCTGTCTTTCACCCTCCCAGGATGATTCTGGATGATTCTGATGTCACAGTCCATGGCTGTGGCAAGGCTTTTTTTTTTAAAGTTGATTATGTGGGATATTTTTTCTGCTCACAGCAGTCAAAGCAAGCCTGGCAGGGGCTGTGTGCTCAGCTCCCTGCCCTCCTGTCCCTCAGCTGATCCTCTGGATTGGGTGCCTGTGGGGGGATCATCCCACCGTGCTCCCGTTGGGTTTTCCATGAGGCATTAGCACGGTTAGAGCCTGACCTCTCAGCAGCAGAGGTGGATGCACCTGCAGAGCCCAGAACAGGCTGTTCCCGAGCGCTCCCACCTCCCGATCCTGCGGGATTCCTGCAGCCGCTGAGCGCTGCGGGATAAAGCTCCAGCCCAGGAAATGGTTATTTCCCTGTCACCGACACCAGGAGCAGTCAGTGGAGTTTTCCTCCCGCTCTCAATGACCCTGGCACAGGGATTTATTTCCACCTCACCAGATCACCGGGAAACCCGATCGCGGTGCGGGAAGAGCCGGGGGGATGGGGGGCTGGTGGGGTTTGAGGGTAGGAGCTGCAGCCAAGGGGAGGTCGGGGTGTCCTTCCCTCGCACTGGGCTCGGGTCCCCGTCCTCAGGGTGGGGGGTGGAAACCCACCTGGGGTCACCTCTGAGGCCCCGAGGTGCTGGGACGTGTCCTGGTTAAGGAACCTGCTGTGCCCTGGGGTCCGAGCCAGCCCCAGCACATGGCATATGGAACATGGGACATGGCACATAGGACATGGCACATGGCACACGGCACATGGGACATGGCACATGGGACATGGCACATGGCACACGGCACACGGCACATGGCACATGGCACATGGTTTATGGCACATGGCACACGGCACACGGCACATGGCACATGGGACGGACACTGGCACACGGGACATGGGATGGGCACTGGCATGGGACATGAGACACATGGCACACGGGACACAGGACACGAGACATGGGACATGGGACAGGCACAGGCAGGACAGCCTGGGCACTGGGATGAGCACANGGACACGAGACATGGGACATGGGACAGGCACAGGCAGGACAGCCTGGGCACTGGGATGAGCACAAGGAACGGGCATGGGCACCGGCCTGGCATGGACGTGACCCTGGCTCTGCTCCTGGCTGTGGGATGTCGGGAAGAGTTTTATATTGGGATTTTTATTGGGGTTTTCTGCCCCACTCCCAAACCCTGGGCAGGTGCAGGGGCTGNGCTCCTGGCTGTGGGATGTCGGGAAGAGTTTTATATTGGGATTTTTATTGGGGTTTTCTGCCCCACTCCCAAACCCTGGGCAGGTGCAGGGGCTGGGGCTGGGTCACAGCTCTGGCATTTGCACCAAGGAAAGGAAAAATTCCATGTTTGACAATGCTGAGGAGCTGGAAATGGGGAAATCCCAAAGCAC